TTCACAAGACAGCTGTCACTCCATGGCTTACTGCCCACTGCTGTTTTCCATAAAGCAAGCCTTTTTAAACACAGGGATACACAACTCCTTCCTCATGCATATACATTTTAATAGTTGCTCAAACAAGTTCCAGATGGAAAAAGAAACGTCCTTAAGACAGTGTAGAAAAAAAACAAAACAAAACAAAAAACTCCGGGTTTTTTCATCAGTGTCAGTGTAAATCAAAAGTCTTTACACAAGCAGCATACCAGAGATGCTGCTGAAATGATTTTGCCATATATGACAAGACAGCATGAACAAGGCTATTGTGGGTCCCAGTGAATCCAGGTGAATCAGATTTTATTTTCTGAATGTAACCCTCCATCGTATATTTCGGACAGGACTGGTGCTCGGACTGGTGTAGATCTTCACTCTGTTGATTTTCAGTTTTCTGTCAAAATGTGAGACAGTTTTTTTCTTTTTCCTATGCAGCATATAAAATCCAAAGAACACTGGAAAATAGATTGCTTTGTATACACCTACATGCAGTAAAGCCATTGTGTCATTGTTGTAAGTGAGACAAGAGTCCCTGGTGCCTCCCCAGCATCTGGGCTGACAGGTTTGGGGCCTGGCTGTCAGTGTGAGTGTGATTGTGAACGCTTGTGTTAGGTATTAAACAAAGTGGGCGACATTGTGGTGATGGCCTTCTGTTCATGGCAAGATTGTGAAGTTATAACAAGACATTTTTGTACGTTTAAAAAAACAGTTTTCACACATCTGTACACATGCATGTTTATAAATGCATGCAGCACATCTCCTTCCCCAGCTGTTCTCTATAATGTATTCACCATGTTGACAGTAGTGATTCATATGTGATTCATTCGAATAGTGAGGCAATTGCTCATGATTCCATTAATATACAGAGACATAAACATCTCATACTTCATAAACTTGCTCAAATACTCCACTTATTACCCACTTTCCCTCTGGGGTAATATTTGTTGAAGTGTCTTAGCTTTAGACAGAAGACCATACTAATGTAATAAATGCATGTGTACTTTTACAAATTGCTGCATGAAAAATCCTAGTGAGTGCTGTATCGGAGTCTAATATAAGTAGTTGGATATTAGAAAAGCTATTTCTAGTTATTTGACCACAAAGCCACGCGTAATACTGTATTAAAGTCAATATAGTTCTAACAGATAAATAGTAAAGGCAGGTAAGAGGAGAATGGATCCTTTTCAAAGCTAATGTGCAAGCCATATAAAGCGATTTGATTAATATGCATCTTGTGTAATTTAGCAGAACCTTGATGAGTTTACAAGCTCGAGGAAATTACAGGAAAATCTCATTTTAATTCCTATAAAATAGATCTTTCATAAACCATGCATTTCCACCTAAAACCAAAACTTTTTCATTTGCTTTTGGATGCTACCGATTCAACACACAACAAACTCGCACATCATTTCAAGGCAGAGTGAAATTCACCTGACTCATCGAGTTCCATTTTCTTCTTTCAGAAGTTAAGTCAGATAAACTCTGACTCTGTGCAGCTCAGTTCAAAAAGAGAGATGGATCCTGCGCACGTTGACTGTCTCAGAGATGAGTGTGTTGGTGACAGAGGGGGGCCTAAGATGGATTAGATATGGTTTTATCAATGAGCACCAGGCTGGCATGGCAGTGGCAATCTCTTATCGTGTCGTCTCAATTTGTAAAGCAGAAAGAACAAGGAAAAGTGTAAAGAGGAGAGAGGAGATGGAATGACTCCAAGTGAAAAGTGAGAAACAGAGCTGAGAGATTGAAAGACCCGAGCAACAGTAGAACGAGAGAATTTCGAGAGTCAAAAGCAGTGTTGTTTCTTAAAGGTGCTTCAGCTAGAACCTGAATGTCAACTTGCTCTGAATAATTGTCTGTGCCAAAGGCAAGCCATGTGGCCTTCTTATGACAATGAATTTCTCAACTCCTCTTTAAACCTGCATCTTTATTAGACCACCCTCTCTTGATATAAAGTTCATATGACATTTTATGTTTCTATTATTTATGAGTAAGGCGGCTGTTCATTTTATGGGTTCTTGCCTCCCCCTCCAGGCTTATTTCACCACCCCGCCATCAGTCTTAAGCTGTCGCCTCTCTTGTCACACATTATTTCGAAGATTTTGTTAGTTCTTCTTCTGTCTTGACAAATATATAAAAAGTCCTAATTAACATCATTTGCACGTACGTTTTTTATGTCAGAGCTGTATACGTCAAACAGCTGGCAAGTGCGAAACTATACAAGCAGAACAATTAAACATGGTGAATAGTTCAAAATGGGACATACATGTAATTCTTTGCTTTGGGATCTACACCACTGTTTCAGTCAACATTCCCTCTAGTGACTTTGAGCGTTCCGGTACAAATCTACCCACGTTCACTCAGACGGTGTCTTGGTGTTTGAAACTGGAATACTAAAAGTATCCACTTGATGAAAAATGTAACCCACCTTGGCAATGACATTGTGATGTGGATTTGTTTGTGGGTAGCGTGAGCATACTCTTGATCTGTCAACCTGTGTGGACACTGAAATATTTCAATCCTGTGTTAATTTTTAACCTCACTTTTTATCCGCTTCACTTTTTTTTGTGGTAACCTGTGCAGTTAAGCAGATGTCATACTAATGATGGCCTGAAAGGCTTTTGAAGAATGATGGGAATCATCATGTCGCGAGCAGCGATCAGTGCTAAGCCCTCAGACAAAGTGGGGCAAAGTGGGAGCAAATCCCTGAGTCTAAATCCCTCACATTTTTCAAACAATACACAATTTTGTTCTCTGGACGATTTGTAATATACTTATTTCTTTCTCCTGTTGTTGGAGTTGAGGGATTTAGGAGCTTGTACTTTTGCCCACTTACAAGCAGCTCAGCAAAGGCAGTTCCGACGAAGTGCATTAGTCTCTGGAAGGAACATGAAATATCTGCACAGCACAGTGCCGTATCTTAATCTGTGGCATATGGCTTTCAAATGACCAGCTTACACCTTGTCTGTCTAAGATCTAAATCTGCTATTAAAATAAGCCAATCCTTTTTAAATACTGCAAATGTAATAAGATTACAGTTCTGAATGCGCTGCAATGCATTTTGTATAAATCTAAAAAAAAAAAAAAAAAGGTAATTACTCATCAAATCAGAGATTTCAATCATTATTTTTTTGTGTGATGTTTACTTTAACATTTTTGGGGGGTCTTTTATGGCACATTCTATAATTCCTGATACCAGCAGACAAATAATCTGATTAAAGGCTTGCAAAGTTCATACTTTCTGGGGGTTACATTCTCAACTCTTTGATTTCTGTTGGTCCAAAATTTTCATAATGGCTCTCAGACTGAGTTTCCAGTTGGCTGATTTACAACTGCCCTTTTCTTGTCTTTGGAAAAGGCCACTTGACTTGATCTAGTGTGCCAAACACGTTGGTACCACTTGAATTTTTAATACTTCTCTAACCTCCAACTCTACTCAGTATGTCTGGCCGCCCATTCGCTTGTGCTGAGATTGGAATTCAGCTGTCTAGACACAATCTGCCAGCAAATAAAGGGATTTAATGAGGAAAAAAATAAGTTTGTGGGTGATTGGGACTGTGCATTACGAAAAAAGTATAACACTACAGTTTATCATTAAAAGCAATAGTTTAGCACATCATTATGTGACAGAAGCAACATTACAGGGTTCAGTACAGTTAGCTGCATTAATTATTCATATGAGCCGGATCTCAGTTTCACTTTGAGGGTTCTCATATGCAATTAGAAGTAATGAATGTGCTTCTTAATTACATTCATTTGTGCAAATTTCCATTCCCCATTGAATTTTTTTCTGTGGAAACATTGTGACACTGACCAATGGCATATCATTTGCAATGTGACTAAATCCATTCAGCATAGAACAATTAGCTGTAATTAGTGTTACAATGTCATGAGCGACCAGGGGGAAAGACTAAGCTGACATGCAAGGGAGAAGAGGACCCTTGTTCAGAGAGTTAAAAGTCCAATATTGTAGCAAGAGCCAGATAATTGGCTGACCACAGGTTAGAAAGATGATGAACTGTTGTAAGAGTAGGATTTTTTTCCAGCTTTTATGT